AAAAAAAAAAAAAAAAAATTAGCTGGCGTGGTGGCATACACCTGTAATCCCAGCTACTCGGGAGGCTGAGGCAGGAGAATTGCCTGAACCTGGGAGGCGGAGGTTGCAGTGAGCCGAGATTACGCCATTGCACTCCAGCCTGGGCAACAAAGGCTAGACTCTGACACACACACACACACACACCTGGGCCAGGTGGCTCATGCCTGCAATCCCAGCACTTTGGAGGCCGAGGTGGCCAAAGTCGGGAGTTCAAGACCAGCCTGGACAATACGGTGAAACCCCATCCCTACTAAAAATACAAAAATTAGCTGGGCGTGGCAGCACCATGCCTGTAATCTCAGCTACTCAGGAGGCTGAGGCAGCAGAATTGCTGGAACCTGGGAGGCGGAGGTCGCAGTGAGCTGAGATCGCGACACTGCACTCCAGCCTGGGCGACAGAGCAAGACTCCGTCTCAAAAATAAATAAATAAATAAAACAATAATAATAAAACGACGTTCACGTTGGTTGCTTGAATGAAGGGGCCGAGACTGCTGGGGTATTAGGCGGGTGCGGTGCGGGACCCTACTCACCTCCACTAGCTGATGCCAGTGCTCCACAGGCTTGCGGGGGTTGGCCAGCATCTCCGCCCAGTGCTCGCGGCCGTGCGGGTCGGCGGCGTCGGGGCCCACGCGGCACACCCCGATCACCTCGTTGTGCCCGATGCTGCGGGTTGGGGTCGGTGAGGCCCGGGGGAGGGCGCTGGAAGAGCCTGTCCCCACCCAGCCTTCCTGCCACGCCCCCCACCCCCGCTGCGCCCCTCACCAGTCGTAGTCCACCACGGCGATGCTGAGCCCCACGTTCTCCACGCTCTCAGGGGCCACGTCGAACACCAGCGCCTCGTTATACGTGGGGTTCAGCGTGTTCTTCTTGATGGAGGTTTTCCGCTTCTTCAGACGCCGCCCCTCGCTGATCAGAGAGGCCTTCACGTAGGGGTCTGGGAGCAGCAATGAAGTAAGGAGCACAGACTCCCTCCCTCAGACCCAGGTTTCTGGGACCCCAGGCCCCAGCCCCTCCTCCCCCAGCCCCGGGAGTCCAGGCCCCAGCCCCTCCTCCCCCAG